TTAGCAACTGCTTGATTGGCCTGACTCGACAATCCCTCAAAATCTGAAGACTTCAGAGTGAACGAAGAATCGTCGGCAAATTGCACTGTACGATGTTGACGATTACTGTTGTTGAGGTCATGTATGAATAAAAGAAAGAGAATAGGTCCTAGGACGCTACCCTGGGAACACTGGTGGGAACGACACAGGTTCTAGAGTGGAAGGTCCCAGCCTCTAGTGTAACCCTCACAGTTCACGTTCTGCAATCCAGATAAGATCTCAACCAATCCAGAGATAAGCCACGAATTCCTAGAAAAAACAGCTTGCTCAAAAGTATATCGTGATCAACAATGTCGAAAGCTCGTGATAAGTCGAATAGAACACTTATTGTTTTTTCACATATATCGAGATTAGAAATGACTTCATTGACTAAATTCACCGTGGCATCCTGAGTGGACTTGCCAATTTGGAAGCCATATTTAAAAAGTTACGGCCCTTCAAAGTTCAGAAAAGGGCAACTTTTCAGCCTTCTTTTTCACTAAATAAACTATTTAAAAACACAAGCATTTATTCAGTAGGTCACCTTTACACCTTATTCCTCCTTCTTCAACACTTTTCACTTCAATAAAAATCCCTTAAAACAGGGTGATACCTACCTGCTCTTTATGAAACGACATAATTTTGCAATGCGGACTAAGGAAGTGACAGAATTTATTGACGGATAACATTGTAGCGCTTTTGAATACTTAATGAGATTTTATTACTCTACACTCTTTTGAAATAGACTATAAATTGTCTTGAACTGTCTCGAATCGTTCTTGGTCTCGAGGTTGAAATGTTGAGAACTGTTCCTGTTGCTCATGCGCATTCATGTGGAAATTTGTAAAAATAAACTATTTACATAAAAATTAATGTGATGATTGACATTGACGCAAACCATTTACAATTTCTGATGAATCTGACACATAAATACTACATGCTACTCTCAAATGCCTGCTACTTCAAATCGCCTAACGCAGGTGGAATCTGAGAGCTGTAGTTTCCTGATTTGTGATATTATCTGTGGTTTGTTGCTAAACTTTTCAAATAATATATTTGAAGCATTTATAAAACACTCATTCACAATCTCAGCGTCACTAAATGGTTTCATATGTTTTCCTAGTAAATAACAAATTTCGTAGGACGCTCTCGTCAGTCACTGTTACATCTTGTGACATTGAAACTGACATAATATTTTGCTGCTGCTATAACGACTTTTTCAAGACGCATAGTTTTTTTCGCAATGCAGAGCTGTCTGGAAAACTATCGCCAAACATCTTGTGTTTTGTATTATAATGCCTCATAATATTATATTTTTTAATATCACACTTTCTCGACAAATCAAACAAGTACTTGAACTGTGTTTGTTAAGTACCTACAACAAAATGTTCTTCCTCCCAATTGTCTTGAAATAATCTATTTTCGTCAGAAATTTTACGTTTTGATTTTGAGGACACACCAGCCATTGTAATGGTTACGAATTCTCGGCACTAGTGAAAGAAACTCAGTCGACTGACGAATACAAATGAACCGAATATTTCACAAGTGCCACGTGGCTTTGGAACTAAAGAGAGAGAGAGAGAGAGAAGAATCATAATTTTTTTCTTCCACTTGTTGATGAAACCGGAAATCCGGCATTCAGTCTTGCCAACACCGTTCGCGAGTATTCGAACACAAGGCTTTCCAGTGTTCGAACACAGTATTCGATTTGGGTCAAAAACCTCTACACATTTTTGTGTCGTTATCAGAAAATACTATTGTCAAATAATCTAAAAATATTGTATTTGCCTTCAGGCTGTAGAAAAGGCTAGAGCCGCTAGAGGGCCGCAGGTTGAGTATCGCTGCTCTATATCAACTGCGCATGATCCTGACGTCCTAGCACCTGAATTTCATAGAACCAGTACAAACCTAGCACCTTTCGAGTCTCCACAACTGAGTCCTCTTAAGGCTGCACGTGGGTGTTGGTACCTATCAACAACATTCCGATTACTACCAACAGCTGCAGATATTCAACATGCTGGGTGTAACGCAATCAAAAACGATCCTGGTGGTTTTGAAAGAGTTCGGGAGTCGATGAGGAGAAGATTGGATTCCTGCATTCGAGCGCGGGGTGGATATTTTCAAAAGTTCTTGTGTAGATTGAGAAACATTACATGTAATTTTTGGTAATAAATTGTTATTGTCGAATTTTTTTTTCGCTACGTATCTTCGAAACAAAGCGCCCCTTCAAAAATCATCAAAGGACAAAATATCATTAGAATAGTCCAAGGGATAGTCCCTGCAGTTGCTGCATGTTTAATGAACACCCTGTAATTTTTTTAGATAAATGTGTCAGTTTCCAAAGGTCATGTGAGGAGTATCACATAGAAATTGAGGGATGTATTACATGCATTCAATATTCAGTAACTATTTGAAATATAGTTACTGATTCCATTTTTGGGATACACTCATATCAGAAACACGTAGAATCTTTAACTTATTTGAAAATCTTTTGAGAACTTATTTGAAAATCTTTTCGTGTTAGCGGTCTCTCAAAAATTTTATAGTTAAAAAAAATCAACTTCGAATTCAATTCAATCAATTTGGCTGTTTATATAGGGTCTTCCAATAGGAACTTGCGAACTTAGATCTGCCGGAAAAAATCCCCGCTGTGTGTGAGAGTGTGCAGGAGAATCTGAGGCTGTTGATTTCGCATCGCTCGGCCTTCCACAGACCACAACTTGGCGAATTTTACGTGACTTGGGCTTGCAGCCGTACAAACCTAGGATCTGAAGGTAAACGACCATAGAAAACGTGTGTTCGCTGAAAGGGCTCTAGAGCAGTGGGCAACTGACCCTAATTTTCATCGAAAAATCATCTTCAGCGATGGTGCCCATTTCTGGATGAATGGGTACGTGAACCAACAAAATTGTCGTAGTTGCGTCAATTTGGGCGTCATCGGTCCATTTTTTTGAGAACGACGTTGGTGAACACCGTGAGTCAATGATTACCATCTTCTATCGGCTAAGTTTATGATCTGAACTAACGACATGTGGTTTCAAGAGGACGGCGCTACGTGCCACACAGCACATGCCACAGTGGATATTTTGCACGAGCGATTTGAGGACATAGTCATCTCACGTGGAGGTTATGTGAACTGCCACCAAGATCGTGCTATTTGACCCCGTTAGACTTTTTCTTAGACTTAACAAAACCCCACCTTCTTGTGGGGTTTTGTTAAGTCGCAGGTGTATGCAAATACACCACAAACCATAGCGGTTCTCAAAGCCAACATAAACCATGCCATCGGTCAAATTCAGCCTGATTTATGGGCCAGTCATGGAAATTTGAACGTTTCGGAAACCGTGGCGAACATTTGAACGATGTTATATTCCACACATAATGGCATCAATAGGTCTTTCAAATGAATGAAAAATTTCGATAGATCGAAGACATTTTGTGTTATTGAAATTTGAAGATAGAACGTGCCTAATGAAAGACCCTTTACTTTCCCATCGCTTTTAAAATTGTCCACTATGTATTGGAATCAGTAGGTCTTAGTTGTGTATGTTTATAAAAATCCTTCACGAAAACCTCACCCTCCTGCAAATGTTTCTAGAACAGATGTTTCTTCGAAATATAATTGGCAGATTGTATTGGTTATTATTTCAATAGAGTCAGTAGTTTTTTAGAGTCATTATTCTAACTCGATTCAAAGTGTTATAATTAGGTATAAGTTGAATGTAAGACACGTGATGTAGTATGCTGTCTGAAAGGTATTCTGTGCTGGATGTTAGCTTCTTCTATGAGGATGAAATGAACTTCTGCATTCACTAAGTCAGGTGTAACTTTATTTGATTTTTTCCTAGATTATATCCACCCAATCCTACTCTGGTTTCCTACTTGTTATCTTTTGGTCAGCTAAAGGGTTGGTTTCCTTCACCTCCCGTTTAACCTCTGTCACAATGGCACATATGGTTAATCAATGCTTGATATTATTATGGCTGGAGAGATTCAACAGTACTCTTCTTGGCAAATATCTGTATCTGTGGAGTAGGGAGGGTAAGTGTAGACTCACAGGACTTAGGCCACATGTGACCCAATGTACATCCTCCCGAGGAGTTGTCCTCCTGGGTCATCGTCCATCCTGTCCTTTCCAGGAAGGTCAACAGTTCACTAGGAGACATCTCCTTTATATTGGCAGGTGTAGGCCAAGACTCGCCCAACACACACTCTCTTTGGCAGGGGCAGCCTTTGTTCAAGTCGGAGCTCTTGGCGCCTGCCGCTGGAAGTGCCCTTGCTGTTGGAGGTGATCTGCTATATCCATCCTCATTCCAAGCGGTAGATTGGGGTGGACATTTCTGTTTATCCCCAGCCACCGCCTTAGATTGAGGTCAGCACTTGTGTCCAGCATCGGGATTGGTTTTTGCTTTTGCTGTTTCTCTTTTTGTGTTGTTTCATTCATTTGTGTTCCCACGCGTAGCAAGAGAAGAGTTGGTCACCTCTGGCAGAGCTCCGCATTACCAGAGGTAGGCTGATTGCCGTGACTGCATATCACCCTGCGGCCATTCAGCTGTCGACACGATTCCTTACACCTTAGCTTGGGTAGGCTGGTCCACGGTGAAATGTTTTGCAAAGACTTTTGGGGGGTTTTAGTTTCCCTCACCCTACTTATTTCTGGTACTGACCAGGAGTTCGGCGACCCCGTCCGTAAAGCCACATTGGCTTCCCGGACAGGGACTCCAGTCCCCTGGCCGTTCCCCTATCCGCCACCTGTGGACGCACCCGATAGGTAGCCCAACCCACGGGTTCTTGGCAAATAATTTCACGTTATTGACAAGTTATTCAATTTTGATTAGTGAGTTTGATAATACCAACCCAACTTGCGCAAGAAATTAGTTATGAGGCTGAATAAATGTTTATGAAATGTTTGCTTCAGATGTGATGAAATTTGAAAAAATAAACGTTGCGAAAAGTATATGCTGAAATATTTTTTTTTTCAGATAAAATAAAAAATGCCTCCAACATTATCCTCCTCCTACTAACCCTGATGGCGGTCTACTCCCATTACATGGTGGCGGACAAGCTAGAAAGAACGGCACCAGCTCTAGTTTTTCTATTCATGCTCAGCGGGCGATTGGTGGTTTATTTCCAACTACAGAGGAGGGAAGAGGATCACATGGAACCAACTGTCAACGGCATGAAACAGGAGTAAACGAAAATAACTAGAAATAGGCAATTTTTGTTATAAGAAAAGACAAAGGATGCGGAAAGTTGATAAAATGAAAAAGTGATGGAAATTCGTGTTTTCAAATGAAGTACTGGGATGCGACCACAAGTTATGAATATTTTCAATGTGATATATTATTTTTCCTGATGAAAAGTTTCATTAAAATATTTGGCGAAAACTAATGCGATACTGAATAATAGTGAGAGCTGGTATTACTCTTTGAGTCTACATTTATATTTGTAACTTAATCTTATGCTGACTCAGTAATCACAGTCGCCATTCTGTTTTTTTTGTGTGAATCGAAGTGTATCAGAAAGTAAAGACCGATAGAAAACATCTTAGCAAAAACTGAAATATGCTCGACCAACTTCATAAACAATATTACCGAATTATGATATCTTTTTGATACCCCCTATAAAAGTAAAATCAGGAAAGAAAAATGAATGATCTTAGTGTAACTAACTGTAATGGGTGATTCGAAAAATAAAATCTCACGTATATTGAAAAAAGTAGATGTTGAACATGATGTGGAAAAAGAACACATCAATAATAAATTTGAAAAATAAAATTGAAATGAACATTTTCATCTTTTCGATATCCATTAAATTTTTTTGATAATATCTGACCTAATATATCTTTTCTTTTTTTCAGCTACTTGATTCCATTATTTTCTCTCTATCACTCCTGATTTTCCAAATGTGTCGGGTAGTTTTCAGAATTCCAGCATTTTTTGAAAGGTTAAACAAAAAATCAGCCCTCCAGTCGATTATACTAATTCGCAATTGTTAGCGTCCCTAGCGTTCGTCCATAAATCCATTAAAGAAACTGAAGTGCTATGTATAAATTGACTATAAATTCCATTGACAAATTATTCATCTGTTCATGAATATATAAAAATAGCATGACAGTAACAATCAATGTCTAAAAGAATCTGGCAGAAAAATATTCAACCAAGACAGAAACCGTCACTGCCAAATTTGAATACTGCAGTAGATACTTGAAATAAAATATATTTTGTTATTTATATGCAGTTATTATCAGAAATAATTGATTTTTAAAATATTTCACCAGATGAACAGTTTTTAAAATGTTCAGAAATAAACAATAAAATATCAACTTTCTGAATAGAGAAAGTGAATGTATGGTAGACTTTGAACACTATTGGAATGGAGCCGCAGCTCCATATAGTTGTTTCGAAGTGATTCTGTATTTGACTTACATTCAAAATCCTAGACTCTAGGTGCATACAAACGGCCACCTTCATTGACAACCAAATTTTGATCTTGAATAACCCAGTTATTTTTAGTCCGATTTTGATTTTTTTTCAATTAATACTATGGAAGGACATTCATCAAATTGATTTTCTAATATGGTCCGATAATAATAGTAATAATTATTATTTATGCCTCCGGAGAGAAGAATCTCCATCAGTCCTTGAGGATAGGGGAAGAGTATACACATGCTGTTGTGGAATTGGCCGCGGTGGTAGGGCGCCCGACTCACGATCGGAAGACCGTGGGTTCGATTCCCGCCTCAACCAGATATTTTTCTCGAGATAATTTATCTGGTTGAAGCTGGGATGATTCTGCAACCGTGTTAGGAATCACACGTTAAAAGGTAAGACTTCTTTAGTCCTTAGCTCGCACAAGTTTCTCAACTTCTGAGAATTGTCGTTCGTATGGGAGCGACAGCTGATTAACGGAAAAATATATTTTGAACAGATTTGAACAGATGCTATCGGTATGAATTCGGGGTAGACAAATAAGCAAAGGTTCATCGCAAAAGAGGACGATATGGGGACTACGGAGAGGATGTGCAGCTCGTAGATGGAAGCATCCTACACCATTTGGATGCCGGAGAGACGTAAACTTACCTCGGAGTGGAACAACGCCACTCACAAGAGGTAACAGCAGTGAAGAACTCTGTCCGCGGCAAGTATCAGCACAAACTTCGACAGATCTGGTCATCGGAACTCTCTGCAATAAATATGCTTGCCGTTCCAATCTTACTCTACTCGTTTGGAGTAGTGAAGTAGACTCGGGAAGAGCTGTACCAACTCGACGTAAAGACCCGAAAAATGATGCATCTCTATAGGAGTTTAAATCCCAAATCTTCCGTTCCACGGTTGTACTTCCCCCAACAATAAGGAGGCCGTGGACTTTTGAGTGTCTACATGATAGAATGGTACTGGATACAGCCTGTAAAGTCGTCAGGAGTTCGGATCCCCTTCTCTGCATGGTCCGTGACCATGAGAGACCAAGAATTGGAGCATTTATCTTTAGGAAAGCTGACTGAGCAGCTGATGAACTCGGTATAGTTTTTGACACTGAACGAGGTGACCATAATGTTGTTTTACATAACCGCTTCAGCAGAAAAACTTAAAAACTTTATTGGTGAGAGTTGGTTTTTCATATTGTTTTCTTAAATTCTCCCAAGCTTCTTTGGCTGTTTTACAATTCTTAACATGTATCACTTGTGAATCTTCGATTAGTAAACCAATTGTAGCTCTCGCTTTACCATCTTTTGCATCCCAATCACTGTTCTTTTGTTCAGGTGGGTTTTGATTGACTATTCTCCATAGTTCTTCTTTCAGTAGAAGCATTTCAACCTTGTATTTCCATATTTGAGAATTATTGCTATTCAGCCTGACTATGTTGAATTTTGTCACATCCATATCAACAACAGTTTTACTTATATATGCCAGTTTTATTGAAACGTGCCTGGGCCCATAACCTGTTTGAAGATACTTTATATTTATGATAAGAACTTTATGGAGACTTTTTATAATTTTTATTTCTGGTAAAATATAACAACTGAACTTGACAATATATAACAACACACAACCATAGAAACATCGAATCAAAAACATATAAATATAATGTGGCTCAAATTCATTTTTGTTGTTAATCTCCAACAACCACAACTTTGTCACCGAGTTGGAACCCGTTCAGCAAAAAGCTCATATAAAAGCCGCAGAGATAACCTCACTTCTGCGGAAACACAAGGATAAGCCAATGCATGAGGTCTTTTTCAATAACATTGGAAACCTTGGCTTATCAAAGCGCCTGACATTTGCTTTCCTCAGGTCGAGTTGGCTGAAGTCGGAAACTGAGGGGTTCCTGACACAAATTGCAGGGCCTGCCACGAGGTGTCCGAGACCCTAATGCACTTGCTATCAGTATGTTCAGCATATGCGGTCTCGGCTTATATCCATCGACATAACGCGGCTCTGAGAGTGTATATTACCATCTATGGCACTTTTACGATATTGACGAGACACCGGTGTTGCCCTACGCTCTGGGGGATATTAAATCCTTTGTGGGGAACGATAAGTGCCAAATTCATGGAACTTTTCGTTCCCCACTCTCAGGCTCATACAAGCTAATAAGCCTGATGTAGCCCTTCTTGACCACCAGAGCAAAAAGATATTTGTCGTGGAGTTTTCAGCTCCTGGCGAGACGAATATCGCCCGAAAAGAGGAGGAGAAACGCATAAAATATCGAGATTTTCTTTTCGTACTCCACAGACTCTATTCAGACCACTCTGTCAAGATGGTTGTTCTGATTATTGTCTTTGTCTTTGGTGGAATGAATCTTAAAATCATACCGGCCTGCCGCACTAAGGCAAAAATCTTAGCCAAACAGATGCAGAAGGCTGCCATTCTTGGCTCACTGCGCTTGCTCAGGGCACATGACTCTCGGGCCCAATGATCACTTACCCCACGGTGTGGGGAGTGGTCGTTGGTTGATAATGCTGGCGCGCCCTTCCGAATGTATCGGGGCTTCGGGGGATAGGGCCTAACCAGCGCATACTTCGGTAAAAAAAATAATAATGTTTTTATTCCTTTGAAATGATCATTTAACAATGATAAAGGAAACAAGTAAAAAAAAACATTTAGATGTATAATACGGAGTTAATGAATAACATAGAGATTACAGATCATTGATCACAATTATTTGGAAGTATACTCAAAATACTCATTGATAGAATAAAAACATCCCTCTATAGTATATTCTTTATCTTTCCGTTCGAAAGTAGACATTAATGGGAAACTCTTTATATTCGAAGGCAGACAATTGAATAGCTTGGAGCCTGCTAGTGAGGGTGATTTTTAAAACAATCTCGTACGATTTTGCTGCAGCTTAATTAGATTTCCATTTCTTGTTGGGTAATTGTGACATTTTGAATTAGTTTCAAACTCAGACCCCTTTTTTTTATAAAAAGTAGACAATTGTAAATGTATATCAATGGTATCGTTAAAATTTTTCTTTCCCTAAAAATGGGTCTACAGGAATCTCTGTGTCGAAGACCATTCAACATACGTATTATCCGTTTTTAAGAGATGAATGCTTGACTGATGTTAATCCCTTCTCTCCACAAAAGCATATATACATTATACCTACGATGGTTCAAGCCGCAGGCTGAACTATCGTCCAACCCGTGTTAGGAATCACACTTTGAAAGGTAAGACCTTGTTAGTCCTTAGCTCGCAAAGTTTCGACTTCTGAGGATTGTCGTTCGTGGTAGACAAAACATCGGACATAAAAACCTGCAAACCATGGCCAAAAATCCTGGAATGAATGAACCGAGCTTGAAAACGGGATGATTTTGAGTGTCATCCAAAAGCTGTGTTTCAGCACAGGATGTCCTAAACATAGATGATATAAACATTTCCTTGTGTTTACTCGTATGATGTGTATAAATTGGGATTCATTAGAAAGTCAGTTCGATACAAATCAATCTGGGACAAATTTTCTTCCCTTCATTAAAAAATATCAAAATCGGGCTAAAAATAAAAGAGTTATACAAGGTCAAAATTTGTTAACATATCAAGGTGACTGTTTTTTATGCAACTGTTTTCAGTCCTGTTCACTTCCTGACTCTTGTCATATCCAGTCCTCTTCGTTTATTCACATATATGTGTTTTGATGAGTATCTATTCGCTTTTCACGAACGTAATGGAAAATTGAAAATTCGAGATTTTTCATTTGGAAAAATTCTTTGATTGATTTTGTGATATATTTTTTATTTTCGTTTCACTAGGTAAGAAACGTGACTTGTATTAGACATAACTGTTTATGAATATGGTTGGCAATCATAAGATTTTTTTTGATATCTAGTTGTTGAGTCATGAATCACCTATATCTACTTTTGAATTGTTTCGTTTTCTGTTTATATTACTAAACGCTCGTCACCACATACATTCATAGAATTCACTTAGATTAAAAGAAAATAGTAGTGATTCATCTTTTGGCTAGATATCATTCAGAAGTTACAGATTTTCCACGAATACTGGACATAAAACAATAAGTTCATATAAAACAGAAGCTTTCAAAAACTAAACAAATTTGTAATTATTTTTCCTACTCAAATAATGGTCATATTTGGAGAAATGACCTAAAAGCAGGTGTCGAATTTTTATTGTGAAAAAAATCTTAAAAGTTCAGTAATTCTGTAGGAAA